TGTGACATTCTCCAAAACTGATCATATTTTAGGCCACAAAACAGATCTCAACAAATTGAAAAAAAAATTGAAATTATATCATGTACCTTTTCAGACCACAGTGAAATAAAAATAGTAATCAATCACAAGATAAATACTGAAACATACACAAAGTCATGAAAATTAAACAAGATGAAAGGTTAGTACTGCAATGACTTGTAAATTAGTTTCATAGCCACATTTTGAGTGGGTAATTAGTAAATATCGATTAGTAGGCAGAACAGCATAGAGGTTAAGACAATGTTTTCCTGAATCAGACAAACCTGGGGGTACTTTGCTAACTCTGTAACCTTGCTAGTTCTTTGAGCCTGTCTCCTTTTTCCTAAAAATGGGGATAATAAGAGTACTGGCTTCACTGACCTGTCCCAACAATTAAGTGATATAATTCATGTAAAGTTCTTACCACTACACCTGGCACATTGTAAGTACTCAATGAATGATAGCTCTTAATATTGCTATCAACTAAAGATGACAAATTTTGCATGAGAAATTAAAGTGAGATGATTTATTGTATTTTAACAAATTAAGCAATTGTCTATGTTTGTCTTCCTTCTAAATCAATATTTAAATATCATAGTGGAGAGAACAGTTTCCAATATCATACAACTACTATTAAATATATACTTGTTGTTATAATTTGAACATAGAAAAATATGCTGCATTTACAGTGAAATGACTGCTCAAGAGGTAATGGAGAAACAGACAAAATTTTCTCATGTAGTAACTGTTACCAAAGATGAATATTCTCTGATGTTTAAAAGGTGAAGTTCTATTTGTCTTAACTAATTTTTGGAAATACTCCAAGCAGAAATGATTCGCCCCACCCCAACTCTGTGACAGGGTGTCATTTCTCAAAAGAAAATGGTGCTACCAACCTTCCTACTCCCTCCACCTCATTCCTACCTCACTCTTAAGTGCAGGTTATGGATGAGGACACATTTGCCTAGTTAGGCATCATCCTTACTTAAAGGGTAACTGTATTTCCAAATCATGCGATGAGATTTTAATGTAGTATTGATATAGTTTCTATTCAACACCTATATAAAAGAGAATATGTAAGTAGCACAGTGTTTAGGAGTGGATTCTTATGTCAGAACAACCTGAGTTCTAATCCCAGCTCTGCCATTTTTAGTTCTTTGGTCTTGGGCAATGTACTAATGTTTCTAGATCTTAGATAAAACCCTTCCAATTACATAAAATAGATCTAATAGTAGAACTTACTTCAAAATGTTATTATAAGGATAAATTAAATTAGATAATGTATGTAAAGTACTGGGCACAGTGTCTGACATATGTAATGCATAAAGAAGTGTATGCCTTTACTATTACTAAAGTCAAATCTTGATTATTCATGCTAATGAGCCAGTAGTGCAACAAAAAAATCTAACAGCACCGAATACTTTAAATACACAGTCTTTGAATTTGTAATGATGCTTTTATACTTGTACTTGAATTTTGCCTGATGTTTTGGCAATCTGCAACATTTCAAACAAACTAATAAAGCCGAAATGTGAGGCCTGGGGTAGAAAATAATCCCCTTGCTTAAAATTATTTTTTGCTGGCCAAGTATAAACAGTCAGCTTTGTCTCTAATTTTAATAAAAAACAGTCATCATAAATGAGCTGCCCCTACTCTCTAAATGTGTTTTTGTTTAATCTTGGTCTGGATTGGAGGAAGTAATTAAGTGCTGGGTTTAAAAGGCTTCCCAGTGGACTACAAAGTAGAATTCAAAGTGAACAGATGGTCAGATAGTCACCAACATATTCTCTCTTAATCTGTTTATCAGTAAGGAATGGAATACAAATATTATTGTTGATAATTCAGTTACAGTAAAAAGTATTTTTGTAAGCAATACATGGTTGATTAATGTTAACTATGGTTGACTGCACAATACATATTTTGGAAAAGATTTTAAAGATTAGCCACAGACAATTAGAACATTCAACCTGATTATGTCTGAGGATTTAATTCATTTTATTCCCCAGGGCTACCCAAGGGTGTGTTGACCTTAAGGTTTATTGAACAAAACCCTTCCTCAACAGAATTACTAGTCTTTTTGCTAGAGATGAATCCTTTTCCATTAAATGTAAACTTACAATGTGTTATAATCTTGAGAAACAAAACATGGCACGTTACTGTGTCACAGCAGGTCAAGACATACATGAACAATTCTGAACAGGCAGAACTCACTTCCTATAGACAGACAACTTGAAAGCTACATTGCTGCTACACAGTTTCCATCAAGAGAAACAAGATTAAGGCCTAAAGTTTTACACCTTGACCTATACAAGACCAGTTTAGGCTTTCCAAATGTGTATGTCTTCTCTCTCTCTCTAATCTTGGGTGAATAGTCATTTATTCCTGACTATTTCCCATTTATTGCTGACATTCACCTTTAAGCATACTAACTCTCCTCCACACTAGCTCCCCATTTTTGTATTCTCTGTGTACATGCCCCCCAGACAACTCTTCTTCCACTTATAGGACTTACTCTTTCCCCTACCTCTTATGTTTACATTTATCTCCTTATACCTACTAGCTGCCGTGAATCACTGGGAGAACAGATTTCTTGATGGTTAAGCAAATATTCCTTGGATTTAAAAAAGCTTGAGCTGGATTCAAGCTCTCTAGTTTACTAGCTGTGTGACCTTGAGAAAGTTGTTTAACTTCTCTGAACCTGTATACTGTATTTCCTTCTCTGAAAAATAGAGATAATTGTAGTACTGAATTCATATTGTCAAGAAAAAAAAAGACAGTACCTGACACACTTAAGTGTACCTACTGACTATCATTATTGTGCCTACCATCAGGAAATCCATTGCATTGGCAAAGATTTTTTGGGTAAGACCTCAAAAGCACAGGTGACCAAAACAAAAATCGACAAATAGGAATACATCAAGCTAAAAAGCTTCTCCACAGCAAAGGAAACAATCAAAAGAGTGGAGAGACAACCTATAGAATGGGAGAAAGTAACTGCAAACTATCCATATGACAAGGAATTAACAATCAGACTATACAAGGAATTTAAACAACTCAGTAGGAAAAAAATCTGATTTAAAAAGCAGGCAAGTGATCTGAATAGACATTTCACAAAAGAAGACATACAAATGACCAACAGATATGAAAAAATGCTCAACATCACTAATCATCAGGGAAATGCAAATCAAAACCACAATGAGGCCGGGCGCTGTGGCTCACGCCTGTAATCCTAGCTCTTGGGAGGCCGAGGCGGGCGGATTGCTCAAGGTCAGGAGTTCGAAACCAGCCTGAGCAAGAGCGAGACCCCGTCTCTACTATAAATAGAAAGAAATTAATTGGCCAACTGATATATATATAAAAAAAAATTAGCCGGGCATGGTGGCGCATGCCTGTAGTCCCAGCTACTCGGGAGGCTGAGGCAGAAGGATCACTCGAGCCCAGGAGTTTGAGGTTGCTGTGAGCTAGGCTGACGCCATGGCACTCACTCTAGCCTGGGCAACAAAGGGAGACTCTGTCTCAAAAAAAAAAAAAAAAAACACAATGAGATATCATTCTACCCTAGTTAAAATGGTTATTATCAAAAAGACAAAAAATAACAAATCAAAAAGATATCAGCACTCTCATGTTAACTATTCACAATATTCATGATATGGTATGAACCTAAGTGTCCATCAATGGATGAATAGAGAAAATATGGTATGAATACACAATGAAATATTATTCATCCATAAAATAGAATAAAATCCTGTCATTTCCAACAACATGGATGGAGAAGGGCATTAAGTGAAATAAACTAGGCACAGAAAGGCAAATATCACATGTTCTCATGTGGGAGCAAAAAAAGCTGATCTCATGGAGCTAGAATGATGTTTACCAGAAACTAGAAAGTGTGGGGTGGAGAAAGGGATGAAGTTAATGGGTACAAAATTACAGTTAGATAGAATGAATAAGTTCTACTGTTTGATTGCACAATAGGGTGACTGTAGTTAACAATAGTTTAGTGTATATTTCAAAATAGAAGATTTGGAATGCTTTCAATATAAAGAAATTATAAATGCTTGAGGTGATGGATATCCTAAATACCTTGGTTTGATCTCCATAAATATGTATAATTATTATGTAGTAATAAAAAATAAAAATATAAAAGAAATACATAGCAATGATGAATATATTTGCTTTCATTTCTAGACTTTTGAGAAGCAAGTGCTACTCATCTGTATTAGGGCAGAGCTAAGTGCAAGTTTGAAAACATTTTTTTCATTAAGCTATGAGGTACAGGGAGTCTTGGGATATAAAAAATAAGTAAGTTAATATTGTCACGTCAATTATCACAGATCCCGATCATCCCCAAGCCCAGTATAACATCTATATTATTGGTTATTTCATGACACCCAACAGGAAGAGTCAGAAGACAGAAATTACCAACCCAAAGCCAAGAAGCTTTTAAATGCTCTTCAGATAACTACACTAAGTCACTTACACAAGTATGTGACTTTGTGCAATTTAATTGTTCAGTTCCATCAGGATGTTTGCCCCCAAATTTGTAAGTAATGTATTAAAACCAACATGGCAGCAGTCTTAAAGGAAAAGTTCAGTAATGCAAACTGGAGTCTCTTTCCAAAGTACATTACCACCCCATTTATGTTATAAAAGAGCTCTTCCTAAAGTGTATATACACTTTATACTGTTCTGGTATTATTTAAAAGTACTATAAGATTATAATAAAGCAAGGACTTATTTGGGCAATATTTAGTAGAATTTTGATAACAGGCTCATATGAACCATATTTATTGCAACAATAGACAAATCTTTAATAACCCAGGAGAAAAAGATTGAAACAAAACTCAAAATACCATAAACACCTGCCAGTTGCATAATGTTCAACAATGTAGTCCAATAAGGAAATAATAGAAGACAGAAAACATTTCTAAGACTCTTAGAAATTTAAGTCTCAACAAAGAAAGAGGTGCAGTTGTTCTTACTTGAATAGAAATTCTGAAAGTAGTTTCCTCTTGAATCTGCTTTTGGGGGAGGGGTAGAAGAGGGAGAAAGCAAAGAATAAATAGCTGCATTGAAACTGCCTGGCTCCCAAAGCGAAACTAACTGCCTGATCCATTCTGAAACTTTACAATTACTGTATTAGACTGAGACTCTGAGCGACTCAAATTTTACTTTGACATATCAGAATAAAAATGTATGGAAAATAATGAGGCAAGAGGCTCATAAAGTGGGGTCTAAAGGAAATACAAAAGGTTTTCTTTTTTTCTACCTAAACTTGCTCAAAACTGTAAGATTAAGTTTTCTGATATTTCAAAACTATCTAAACACATGCACACATGGGGGCCAGAGAAGACAAAGTTCAATGGTCAAGGTTCTTGTGATTTAACATAATCTTTAGTTCTATTCCAAATCCTCTTGAGTGTAAATAAGCAGGCCAATAAACAAAAGCAGCCAACAACAACCTGGAGTAGCTGGTGTTCTAAAGTTCAAGAAGAGGGAGCTCTGGTTCCTATAGCCTACATCCTGAACCTACAGGTCTGCTCTTGCCACTGTCGGTTTTTTCCTTAAGTTGTGAAAAACAGAGGTACTTTCATTTATCATGGATATACACTCAGATTTCATCCCAGTTTATCTTATTCTCCACATAGCTGCTGAAAATTATTATTCTAAATTAAAAGCAAGTGAACCCACAGGGGACAGTGGCCTATCATTTGAAGTAACAGCAACTCAACCTGCCACTAAGAAGCCACTTGTTAGTTCCCTTTCCAGTTCTCAACATATTTGAAGCAATTAGGGAGTGCTAAAAGTAGAATCTTTTTAAAGAATAGAAAAAGTCAAAATGAGAGACAATATGGGGATAAAAACCAGATCCCTTGTCACATTAAGTTAAAAAAAAAAAAAACAACAACAACTTTGTATCATTGCTCCCAACTTCCCCTCCCATTTTATCTGGTTCTAACAGGCCATTAAGCTGAAGTTAAACACCTTCTCCCACACATTCTCAAAATAACTCTATTAAAAGTATCTCACTCTCTCCAAATAATCACAATGCCCCAGTAGGCCTCCATTAAATCCCCATCAGTTACCACATGTGTACCTCCATCATTTACAGAAGTGCACTCATTCTCCTCACCTCAGTACTTAGAGTATATTTGTCAAATGTCTCGCTCTTGAAGCTCACCAGTGTATGATTTTACTCAACTACTTCACCTATCCCTAAATACCCTATACTACCATCTCCCATCTACTGAAACACCGTAGCTTTCTTTTTCCCTCGAAGGAGAAATGTGACCCGAACCTCATGAGGCAAACAAAGCTAAACTCCATCGGAAAAAATGAAATCGATGCAACAAAGGGAAGAAAAAGAAGAAGGGAGGGAGGAGTTTGTGTCTTCTGAAGGAGAAGCTGCCGGACAAACTTCTGCAATTTAATGGCTCTGGGGCAGCAGAGGACTGGTGTGTAGGAAAACAACAAAGGTGGGCTCCCCGCACTCCTTACCGCCGTAGAGCCAGAGGAAGATGCAATATATACACGGATCACCATCCTGGGAATAGCGGCTGCAGTAGGTTGGGTCCTGAAAAGGGTTGCGAAGCAGCTCCAGCAACGGCTGCAACTGAGCTAGGGGCCAAACAGAGGTTGGTGGAGGAGAGTGGGGGAAGGTGGAAGGGGAACTGGCCAGAGCCCCGCCTCCGCCCTTGGCTGCTTTCTCTGGGATCCAAGCGCTGAAGTCCCAGCTCGCAACTCCGGAAGGCACAGGCTCCTTGTTTGCATCATTCTAAACTTTTTTTTTTTTTTTAAATAGGGAATCTCGAGTAGCACCGCGAGATCTGTGGGAAGATTTTTTTTTGACTATTCCCTCCCAGAGAAGACGGGAGGAGGAGAAGAAAAAACAAAAAGGGAGCACTGAACTGAATTAGATTAGAATAAAGGACCTTTTCCTATGGAGACTAAAAGTCCTGTACATAATTCCCTGCTCAGAAATGTATGCAAATAGGAAGGCAGATCTTCCTGAAAGAGCAAGTTCTTTGTTGAAAACCCACGTTCTCAAAGCCTTGAGCATTTTAAGACTCTTATTACCTAGTGAATTTTATGTTAGCTGATTGGAGGAACTGGGCATACTAATCGAGGCCACAGAGAGTTGAAAAAAAGTTTCAGGTTTCCCTAAGCCCAGAAACAGGAAGGTTGATTTTCTTTTTGAGTTTTGCTTTTTGTTAAAATAAGGACCCCTGCTTCTGTGGGAATTTGCAGGAGGCCTGTTTGACAAGTTTAGGAATGAACGAAGAAATTAAAAACAAAATATTGAAAATACTATGTAAGAAAATGAATTATTTTTGTTTTCTTTGCTTTTTCACTTACTGAGGAATGGTAATTTGCATCTTAAATTGCAGGTTATGTTGAAATGGTGAACAGAGATAGCAGATGATTATTCATAGCTCTAGGGAACTGAGCACATAATTGATAATGCCCAGAGAAGGACCACACACATACTTCAAAGTGTAGTTTCAAGTTCCCAGATTATGCCAAATGGACAGAAAGGAGAAACTTATAAGATCAATGAGAGTGGTGAGAAGTCAGTCATCTGTCCTACTTCTTTACTTTTCCTTTGCAGTTTGTCCACCCTCCCCATTCTAGTGATTTACCATCTTTGCCTAGACTCAATAATTGCAGTAGCTTCCAAACTGTTCCCTGCCTACATCTTTTCCCTTCTCCAATCTATCTTAAATACTAATTCCAAATTAATCCTTTACCTGTGATCCATACAACAGCCTTGAGAGGTGGGTACTGTTACATCAGTTTTAGAGTTGAAGAAATTGAAACTCAGGAAAATATGAAAATAAGTAATTTTCTCAAAGTCATATAGCTAATAAATTCCAGAGTCAGGCCTTGAACTCAGGTCCACCCAACTCCAAAGGCCACCCTCTGAACTATCATTGTTAACAAGCTGCCAGGAGCAAGGAAAGTAGTCAAAAAAATGTTAGCTATTTTTCATCCTAAAATATCATTTTCATGTATCACTAAAGACAATGTAGGTGGAAATATTTAAGATAGTTCTCCATCAGCTATAAAACCAAACCTAAATTATGTTTCTAAGGAGTACCCACCATAATCTGACCCCACACTATTCATTCTATCTTACCCTTTGCTCTCCTAAATTCACTTCCTTCCATAAGCACTGTTGCCCACCCACTGCAATCATCACACTTATGTCCACTTTCATGCTTTTTCTCTTCCTGTCCCTTCCTTCTTCTCTCCACATCCTCATACCCTTTTATGCCCTCTCCACTTGTCCAACTTTTAGCCTTTTCTTGACACAACCAAAAATCTTTATGCATATGATGAAGCAACAGTAAGTCAGGGTGATCTAGCCACCCTCATCATTCCCAACATCAGGGCTATTGTTATTGTGTCTTCCAGCCCACATGGCAGAGGAATCCTTCCTCTGGTTTTCATTTGGCAAAATAAACATCTTTAAATATTTATCTTATACTACCATAGTATAACTTCCCTCCCCTCAATGGTTAACATGTACTCTATTTGGACCTTAGTCTCTTGAAATGATGAGAAAAATAGAAAAAGAAAGAAAAAACTCTTCTATTTTTCCTACATATCCATATCACAAAATTAATCATCTCCAAAGAATTAAATGGAGGATCAGCAATGAGTGTGGTGGGCCTTATCTGGAATTTTGAGGAATTAGAAAGATGATTTCTGATGTATTTTTCTAGTAAATATGGATATATTAATCTAAGTGAAAATTTCTCCAATAAATTGGTTTGTAAGCAAAATCTGTTGGTCCTTATTCATAGCACTTGGGATATGTTGGGGGGGGCATTATCAATATTGGTAACCTAGAAATTAACATTACAAATAATATTAAACTTGCTTCTCACTATAGTAAGCCATTCCTGGAATGGATACTCTATAATAGTCATTTCTGCTTCATTTTAAGCCATCACAGAATAGTCTGCCAAACAATTTGCTCATCTAATTTGACTGGAAATGTTAGGACTTGATTAAAGTAGGATGGATCAAAGGGTTTTCAAATAGTATTTGTGACTTATGGTCTTAAGATTTATTAACCAAATTTCAACCCTTTTCAAAAATTACAAAATAAATGTATGCTGTGTGCAGAAAATTTAGCAAACACTGAAAGGAAAAAAATTACCTATATGCCCAGTATTTGAAGATAACCTTTGTTAATATGCTGGCATAAGCCCTTCCGGGCCTAATCAGAGTTGGGTTAATGAGGGTGGGATAAGGACTTGAGGGAAGTGGCAGGGAGAGAGTGTATATATTTTTTAAATTTATCATAAGATATATACTATATTTTAATTGGCTTTTTTACCTATAAAATATATTTTAAAAATTTTCTCATGTCAGAAAGTATAATTCTACAACATGATTTTGAATTGCTTTACATGATTCCATTTTATACATGTACCACAATTTAAATAATTCTCTATTATTGAACATATTGTTTTCAATTATTCTATATTTTAGTTCATGCTGCAGTATATATCAATAAATTTTTCCCACATCCCTAATAATTTCTTAAGAATAAATTCCTCAATGTGAAAATGCTGGCAAACTATATAGATAATCCAGCCTATTGTTACAATGCTATAAATTGGTCCCACTATTGCTCTGGTCTAGAGTGGGAAAAGAATGTTGATTTCAGTGAAGGATTAGCTGATGTTACCCCAAACACAAGAATTAGGTGATATCTATAAGAGTTTTTCCAACATCTTCTTCTAGAATTTTTATAGTTTCATGCCTTAGGTTTAAGTCTGTTATCCACCATGAGTTGATTTTTGTAAGAGATGAGAAATGTGGCTCTTGTTTCACTCTTCTACATGTGGCTATCCAATTTTCCCAGCACCATTTATTGAATAAGGATTTTTTTCCCCAGTGTGTGTTTTTGTCTGCTTGGTCAAAGATTAGGTGGGTATGTGAGGATGGTTTTATATCTGGGTTCTCAGTTCTGTTCCATTCGTCAATGTCTCTGTTCTTGTGCCAGTGAAATGCTGTTTTAGTTACTGTAGCCTTGTAGTATAGCTTGAAATCTGGTAAATTCATTCCTTCCAATTTGTTCTTTTTCCTTAAGATTGCTTTTGCTATATGGTGTCTTCTCTGATTCCATACTAAGAGTAGAATTTTCAGGGAAAGAATTTATGAAGAAGACCCCAAAGGTAATCACAGCAACAACAAAAAAAAGTGGAACCTAATCAAATTAAAAAGCTTCTGCACAGCCAAGGAAACTATCACAAGAGCAAACAGACAACCTACAGGATGGGAGAAAATATTCACATGCTACACATCCCATAAAGGGCTGATAACTAGAATCTATATAAAACTCAGGAAAATCAGCAAGAAAAAAATCAAACAACCCTATTAAAAAGTAGGAAAAGGATATGAACAGAAACTTTTCAAAAGAAGATAGACTAATGGACAACAAACATGAAAACAAAATGCTCAACATCTGTCATCATCAGGGAAATGCAAATCAAAAGGACAATGAGGTATCACTTAACTCCAGTGAGAATAGCTTTTATCAAAAAGTCCCAAAACAATAAATTTTGGCATGGGTGCGGAGAGATAGGAGCATTCACACATTCCTGGTGGGACTGCAAACTAGTAGAACCTCTGTGGAAAGTAATATGGAGATACCTCAAAGAGCTAGAAGTAGAACTGCCATTTGATCCAGCAATCCATTACTAGGCATCTACCCAAAGGAAAAAAAGAGACATTCTATTAAAAAAGACATCTGTACTAGAATGTTTATAGCAGCACAATTCACAATTGCAAATATTTGGAAACAATTCAAGCATTCATCAATACATGAGTGGATTAACAAAATGTGTTATATGTATACCATGGAATTCTACTTTTCTGCCACAGAAAACGATGGTGATCTAGCACCTCTTATATTATCCTGGATAGAGCTAGAGCCCATTCTACTAAGTGAAGTATCTCAAGAATGGAAAAACAAGCACCACATGTAGTCACCATCAAATTGGTATTAACTGATCAACACTTATGTGCACATATAGTAGTAACATTCACTGGATGTCGGGCAGGTGGAAGTGGGCAGGAGGGGATGGGTATATTCACAACTAATGGGTGCAGTGTGCACCATCTGGGGGTTGGACATGCTTGAAGCTCTGAAGCAGGTGGGTAAAGGCAATATATGTAACCTAAACATTTGTACCCCCATAATATGCTGAAATAAAAAAAAAGATAAAATAAAACAAATTGGATTATGGAGGTATGATTTGAGGCCTTATGGCCATAGTTGTAGAGAATGGAGTCTAGGACAGGTCTTAGCAGGTCTTACTCTCCTCCCCTCCCCACTTCCCACCCTTTTAATCCCCTGATATATGACTCTAACATTATGTACTTTTTTGAGGTGGGAGGTGGTACTTTCATTTCCCTTCCTGTATCCCCTTTGATGGGCCAAGTGCTAATGCCCATAATGGTGTCCACATGAGTACAGCACTACCTGAAATACACATTTTGGTTTCCTATCTCGGATTTTGGGACCAATTGCCGAGCTAGCAAGGGTAGCAGAGTTTAAGTGAGCTGCACATAAAGAGTAGAATTGGAGTGTATGGCATGGGCATAAGTGAACAGACAGAGGACAAGGGCCACAGAATTGAGGATCTGTCATATGGATGGGTCCCATATAAAAGTCCAATAATCTCTGGTAGATATGGGTCAGGTCACATAGAAGGCACAAGATAAAAAACTAGAAGACATCTCCCATT